ATTTTAGTGTTTGCAGTTTGCAGTATATTGGCTATTTCAATGAGTTTCCACGATATCAATGTACTAGTAGTAAGTAAGGGCATTTAATAAATGTATTAGATACCTAATTTTGGGTTTCGTTAAAGATATCCTTAACATATTTGACTTCAACCATTATGGAATTATCTACCTAGGACAAAAGTTGAATATATATTCCTTAAAGTAATCTGTATATTCATGTTTCTTATAAAAAATGTGTACTTTTATGTACTAACTACGAAAAATGGACATTCTTTATTTTACATTAGGCACTGTAATTGCTTTTTACACTGAATCCATAAATCTTACCCACAAACCACAATTACAATGTTCTTTGTCCAACATTACCTTCTAAAAACATAATATATTTTGTCATTTAATTATAGGTAATTTTTTTTAAGGTGCAGTTTTTAAGGTTAAGATGGTTTCATTTTAATGGGAGTGTAGTTTTATTTTTGTTTAAACAATAAAAGAGAATTTTTCAATTTGATTTGATAATGCTTTATTATATAAAAACTTGAGAGATTTGCGAAATTGGAATACGATCCTAAAACAACACACCGGGCTTCAAACACCTTGAAAAAACAAAGACGAAAGACGAAACTGGTTCAATATAAAATTTTCACATTCTCATGCCTATGCAGTATTATAAAATATGACGTTAAGTAGATAACTATTTGACTCAGCATTATTTTATGTGAAATTACAACATATAGGCCTACTCGTACAACGTACTTTGGGGCTTTTATATAGAACTGCTTTTTACTGGATGTTGGCGATTTAAGCATACTTCAGCCATCTACAATTTAAAATATATAAGAATTCGTAGTATTTGCATTCTCGATGGAAGAGTCCTATGGACAATCAACATTGGAATGGACCATAAGATGAACACAATAATTGTATTTTTCAGTAAAGTGTTTGGTTTAGATTATCGAATGAAAAGTATATTAACGATTTCAAACTAAGTAGTGTGAGAACCGAGTCGAAGAAATAAAACCTTTCGGAAATGTTTTTAAGAACTTGTATTTAAATACTAAGAGTTTTCTTTGATGAAGGGCTTGCATATTTGGTATTTTTTTTTTTAATACTCATTAATATTTCAAATTATATTTCAAAACTGTATGGAATAGGTAGCTCACTTCATAAATAATTGCGGAACAGGCCATTGTGGTATCCTCTGAACCACAGATTCAAAACCCACCCCCCTAAAAAAATACCCCCGCCACAGCAAACCTGCCGACTAAGCGAATTTCCATTTGTCTGAATTAATTTTTAGTTAAATATATTTGAATAACATTAGGTTTAACGAGTACCTAGGTTTGCTGCTACAAGGAAACTAATAAAATGTGTTTTTGAGTAAAATATTGATAGCTTAGTACAAAATAAATAAATTTGCCAAGTTTGATCAAAATATATCCATAAACAAGCAAACTACAACATTTGACAATATTCTCCATAAGAATAACATGGGAATTTTAAATATACAATTTTTTTAATTTTCTCCGTTACTAATTATCGAACAAAAATACTTTCATATACTAAATTATTTGTTTTTTTCTTTAAAAAGGTATATAGAGAAATCGGGAAATTTTGTGTTTTGAGGGTCAAAAATGAGAAAAACCAATTTTTACCCCATAAAACCCCCCGTAAAGCCCCGTTCCCATGGTCCGATCGTGCTGGTTCGCGAACTCATTCAATTTTATCCCACTTTACACCTTTAAACCAAATTTCATCAAAATCGAACAAAAATTACTTAAGTTATCGCGTTCACGGACGTACATATCTATAATATTAAAACGAAAGAGTGTTTTTTTTATTTCACGATTCTGAATCAACCACTCGACGGATTTTCATGTTCTTTGTGTTGAAAGAAAGATAATTTTGAGAACTAGGGAATGTCGAAGCCATAACTTTAGTTTAGGGTCCCAGTTTTTTAGAAATTAAGTTTTAATTTTTAAAAAGTCTAGCAGCCGACGCTAAGATTCTAAACTAGCTTTTCGCATAAAATAATTTGCTTAACATAACAGCTGTAAACATTTAGCTTTTGTGTCACGAATCCAGCATTTGGATAGAAATGTAAAGACATACTTACGGTTGACTTATTTAGGCTATACTATGTGTAATGCTAATCATTGATACGTTCAATTCTTCTGTAAGAGGATGATAGATTAATTAAATATACATAGTAAAATACTAGGATGTTGAAATTATTTTTTAAAGCAGTCTTTGTAATCTTCGATTTGTTTTAGAGCAATATAATTTGTTTTAACAGCTGGTTAAATAAAAACTATGGAACTATGAGGTTATTTTATTTACTCTTATTTTGTCATTGATTATAGGAAATAAGTAAGATTAGTAGAGATAATTAGACCACAGTTTAAAATAGTTTAGACCAAAATTAATTAAACCACAGTACAAATCGAGGCTTTGTACAAATTATTTTACTGCTCCACTTTTCAAGAAAAGATTAGAAAAATAACAATGTTTACATGTTTTAATTCTTCATGGTAGCTTTCTGTTTACAATTAATGTTTTTCTGCTTTAACTTTGTTTGGATTAGGCCCGGAAATATTGATGTCATAAAACGAAGATCAAGAATAATGACGAATCATGATTTTAAATTACCACCACAACCTCAGCCGGGTTTTATACGCGGATAAACAGATGGATGACAGATTGAACACAACGTCAACATTGACCTAGGATACTGCAATTAGACAAACCATCCTTTTATGAAATCGTGTTCAGTTAACTATTATGGGAAATTACGATGTACATTTATTCAATGAGGGTGGGTAATTATTAAGGATAGAACTGATAACGGTATGGATAATAAACATTGACAATTACGTCATTAGCTTTACTAGCGTGTTTACTTTTTATATTCCTGCTACATGTGACCAGTTCTTTTTTTCAAATTAATGTTATTTGAACCAAACAGCTGTTTCAAATCAAACTGTTATTGTTTTTACTTTTAATTGTTTACACTTATTTATTTAGCAATTAATGCAGTGAAATTGATATAAAGGATAGGTGTGACGATTTATGTGTACTGTGAATTTGATTGGATATTATCGTTTTATTTTAGGCCATTTCTATTCAAACCTACTGGAAATTGTGTATAGTAGTTGTATTGTGGTGGTAATAATTATGGAAGAGGCAGGTATGCTATGGAAGGTGGTATCGTTGACTAGGTCTATACACTTCTCAATTGACTATTACTCTCTCTACTGTAGGCTACTTAAAATTAGTGTGCGTCTGTGCGATCGGCTGCAAATCTCACTTCAACGCTTTTCACATCGTAAAAATTGCAGAATTGCTGTTTTATTGTAAAATTATCGGATTTAAAATGCATTTCGTATAGGCCTATGATGGAATAAAAACATATTTGGTCACACAACATTTGTTTACAAGAGGATTTTTCACATGAAAACTGCAAGAAAATTTGTCTTTTGAGTAAACTAGCTGATCTGAATTGTACACGGTTTTAACTGACTACTGTATTCCCGTACGTAGGACGGGCTAACACCTCGTATATATATATATAAAAATTTGAACGAATGGTGTTTTTGGCCTCTGGGGGGACATCAAAATGTAAAAGTAAATCGGTCCCGGGTCTAGGTCTTACCGTGCCACCTACGGTAATAGCTACTTCCCTACAGGGAAATTCGCTAAAACGTAATTAATTGCGGATTTCCCCGAAGTTTTTAGTACCAAAATAGAGCATCATATTATAGCAAAGCAGAGAGGGCATTCTAACTGTCAAACCCATTTACTTTAAATCATACCTTCAAAAGATACGGTATGTAGATCATTTACAACAAGAAAGGCAGATAGCAGAATGCAAGACTAATGTACCCAGTCGTTATCGCAGCCTAATGTACCTTTAGATAGTGTAGGGCTCAATTGTGATTTAGTTGAAATGAGTCAATTGTCTATAGTACGGGTGATATTACGAGTGATTATATGTAACACATATGTTCATTGTAACCAAATTAAGGTGAAAACGAGGAAGAAAACTAACCCGGCTAAATACAAAATTTTATTAAAAACATGTTCGACAATATAAGAACCTACTGGTTCGAAACCCAATAGCGAATGGTATATTTATTAGTACAATTAGTAGTCATAGGTGAATTATGAGATAATGATGAGTTGGTGACTCACTCTGTAGCGGGAAGGAAAATGAAAGACTGTAAACTATGGTGATTTCGCTTCCCGGCTGGGGCGTCGCCCTTGGTTGGGAGGGGGGGTAGGGGGGTACCACCAATTGAAATTAAACCGTACTGATGTAATGAAACTGTTGTCTAATTATAACTGTTGATTGAATCAACTGTAACATGTAATATATATATTGGGAGATACAATCCATAGACAATTTGGGATATTTCACTTAAAGTAAACTAAATGTGGATTAGGTATATGAACACCTTCTTTTGAAAAGATAAAATCTCTTTAGTTTATATTAAGCATGAATCATAGTTGGAGATTGAAATAAAATAAATGTCATTCTATTTACATTAAAATATCGCTTCTTACAACTTTAACAATGATAAATCGTAATGATTTTGATCAATAAATTACGTCTAAAACTGTATACAAACAGATATACAACAGTCACTTATCCACCATACGTACACTTTTCATAAATAATATGAAAAGGTGTGTTGTTAGTAAATATTTCATTAATTATAATAATCATAAATAAATCCATCAGTATTTAATTGTATAAAACCTCCAACTGTTGATTCTAATTTTCTATATTATCAATTTCTATTTTCTAGTATTGTAATTTTTTAAATATTACGGTCTACACTGCCCTTAATGAGATGAATCTAAAATCACTTCACTCCGTTCCAGCAAAGTAGCCCTCAAGTTAAAGTGATGAAAAATTCAATTACAAATAGTTAATAGTTAATACCTAATTACGTGTTTAATTGCAATAGCTTAATTAACTAGTTGCACCTGTCCTGTTTCAGCTTGTCTCCGCATTGTTATGCAGTTTTCTAGTGGCTGTCACAGTCTCCCAGACTACCGATGACGTCACCACAGCTACGACAGGTCACGTGACAGTTGGTGGGGGGAGGAGTGGTATCCGGAGGGGTGGGACGCGTCACAGACACAACTCGCATCAACTGGTAATTATTTGTTAAGTTTGCTCATATTTTTCATTTGTTTCCTTCCTTACAACCATTGACTGTATATAGCCAATGCTACAACCAATAATTTTTCTAAAACATCATAGAAAAATAATGAGTTGGATAGTTTTGGTGGTCGCCTGGTTTTTAAAAGGTTGTCCAATACATCTTAAGACTGGTGAGCCTTTAATGGTTTAAAACTTTCCTCATTGTTTGGGTTTTTTTAAATTATACTAGATACATAGGTAAATAATCTTGGTCAACAAACACACACTAGATATCTCACTCCAATATGTTTTTTAATACTCAACCTTCAGTTGCACTTGGAATACACCAAGTTGCATGCTCATCTCATGGTAACACAGTAAAATAGATAGGGCTATGCTGGATTCTTTGATATAAAAATGCACCGCGTAATCTTAGATACCCTTAATCGTCATAAACAGATCCCACACTTCGCACTGCTAGCCTTTACTAGGCCTACAATTTATCGAGTAATCTTCAGTATAATCTATGCTCAATAGTAAAGTCATGTTTTTCCTTTTGTACTGTATTTTGTAATGTCAATGTGCTATTATACATGTGTGGGTAGATGGCTTATTATGAACACATGCTACAACTTCAAGTCTTTTGTTTACTTTTTATTTGTTATTTAATTCAACCAACATGGTTACTTAGCAACCCATAAGACTAATGTTAAAAAAAATGTGACTTTCAGTTTCATTTTTCTACGTAATTAGATTTTTGTTGGCTAACTGCAGTAAACTCGTTTTTAGGCCAGAAATATACTATTTACAGCATTTGAAGAAAATCGTCGGAGCCGTTTTCGAGGTATTTTTTGCAAGCAAGCAAGCATACATATTTACAAGCAAACCTTGCTCATATTAGAGTAGAGAATTTTTTATTTAGTGTACTTCTAAGTAATTCATATACTGTTCTACCTACAGAATTCTATATCGAAATTCATTTGATTGCAGTACGAAGTTCCTCGCAACGACTTAGGTCGTCGCCCTACAGTAGTGAGAAGAAGAAGACCAGGAGGAAAACAACCCTCAACTCCCAACAACAGGGATGGCAGATGTAAGATTTAAAGATTGTTACACACACACACAGCAATGCAAAATAACACGAGAGATAAAAATCGCATTACTAAAATTTTTTAAGCTAATGAGTCGTTTTGCAAAAAAATGTATGAAACGTACTAGCTTTTACTATTGACAGATCAAACTTGTCCATGAAAAAGTAAATTGCAAAGTAAAAATTAAAAAGTAAAAATTAAAAAGTAAAATATATAAGTAAAGAGTCAAGTACGTCCTGAATAGTTGATTGTATACTTGAACACATTAATACAGTTTGATTTTCAAATAAATATATTTCTCTGGTACGTGGCAAAAAATACTACGAACTGAGTAAAATCTATCTATCTATCAGAGGTTTTCTGGAGGCCTAAAGCTTCGACTTTTAAAATGTTCTTATTCGACTTATTCTTATTCTTATTCTTATATTCTTATTCGATTCAATTTTATGTACTTTAATGAGACAAAAGTCAAATGATCGCTTTTAGTCCAGGAGTGATAAAGCAAATTAAAAAGTTAAAAAGTTACATTTCAAAGTTGTTTTCTTAGTATTTTGCAATGGCAGCTGGTTTGTTGTTTGAATTAAACTTGTTTTTACATTTATAAGTACATTCAATAACTCAATAACTCAATAACTCATTTATTTAGCAAGATTAACATTTTGCATTAGCCAAGTCAAATTTACTAAAAATAACTATTAACTAACTTTATTCCTGATGGCTTAAAAGCACTTTTCCACTACCAACGATTTGAAAATTCTAACTAAAATACAATTAAAACGCAAGGACCTTTGGAGCGTGATAAAGTTTTAGGATAGGTTATAGTACTGATAGTAACTATTATTTTTGTGGCAATTGAATGATATGTTCTTTAACATGCGAATGAGTTAAGTTGGTAATGATGATTTAAAATTATGATACAGTTCTTATAAAACAAATAAAGAGATAATAAGTAGTAATTTTACAAAGTAACAATTTCGTTTATTTCAATATTGCATGGATCAATTATAGGAAGTATTGAGTTGTCCTTATTAGGGAAAGTTGTAGTATTAAAATGTAATATCATGAACGCAAATTATCTCGGTTTCGGTTGAGTTCCAAATGCTTTAAAAGCTCTCGAAACTTAGCTTGCGGATTAATATGACAACTTTTCGCAAACTTTTCAACGAAAATCATATTTCCCCCTTTAATCAGTAATATATTTATGAATTTTTATTTTAGTTTAAAAAATTCGTAATTGGGTGGACAATTCTTAAACGTTAATAATACAATGTACGATCTCGGATTAATACCTGTAAAGTATGAACACTTTTGGCAATAAATAGTAGACGCTAGTAAAATCATCCATTCTAATCACTTCATACCGATTTTACCAATGCAATCTGTCTATTTGTCATTCCAATGTTTCAGTCCTGTCTTTGTTCACGGTCGTGGAGTTCGAGAACCGCGCCTGTATGGCAGCGTCTGGTGACAACGGCACTTGCCTCACAGAGAGTGAGTGTGTTGAGAGGGGAGGAGTAGTCAGTGGTCCTTGCGCTCACAACTTTGGAGTCTGTTGTCTATGTGAGTACTAGATTATAGATAATAGCATAAGCATATTACTTAAAATAACACTAAATACTAGGTCTTCTGGGTTTCTATAGATGCCACATGTAAAGAGGTAAAGCAGGGAGGTTAAGATCACAACTCTCTAGAATCGTCCACTTTGGAGTTTTGTTTTGCGTAGTCTACTATTAAGACCTTGAGGAAATAGTCTTGAAACTTTGATTCATAGGTTTTGTATATGTAAAATTATTGCATCATTCCAATTTTATAGTTAATTACTAGTTAGAGTAACCAATTAATTTTCATTTTTATAGTATAGCCTCTGTATCACTGATTTTTACAACAAAAGGTTTAAATTACCTGTATCCGTCAAGTGATCCTCGATTGTAGTTGTTTGACTACAGCTGTTTCGTGTTTATAAACACATCTTCAGGTCAATGTTGCATTGATTTATCCTATCCATGGAATGGTTGTCGTGAGGTTGGAAGTTCACAAATAACACATGTACACGAAACATTAAACATTAAATTGGCCAAAACAAAAAAACATAAAAAAGACATCGGACACGTGCAAGTCATGACCTACCTTCTACTGGCACCGCACGTGGTCGATGTCTTTTTTATGTTTTTTTGTTTTGGCCAATTTAATGTTTAATGTTTCGTGTACGGGTGTTATTTGTGAACTTCCAACCTCACGACAACCATTCCATGGACGGGATAAATCAATGCAACATTGACCTGAAGATGTGTTTATAAACACGAAACAGCTGTAGTCAAACAACAAAAATCGATGATCACTTGACCGATACATGTAATTTAAACCTTTTGTTGCAATTAACTTAGTAAAATAACGTTTCTAGCTTTAATAATTCTACCTAATGTCATAAATAGTAATTAAAGCCGTTTTCAGTTGAATGCTGAGGGAAGTCAGCTTTTTAATGGGTCGAAACTGACTCTAAACTGTTCTTTATCTCCATACTTTTTGTAAAATGTTCTGTCTCAGAAAACAGTTGGTCTTAGTCAGTTAAAAACTGCACAAGGCAATTCACTCTTGAACTGCGATATGTAACTTGATAAAATTTATAACAAGATCAAGAATACTCTACTCCAAAAAAAAGCCTTGATCTCTTTATACTCAGGAGTCTGTCCACACGGAAGATATCATGTTTAATTCCCAGTAGGCACTTGGATTCGATGAGTCGCAATGTGTGGTGCTCAGGGGGTTAGTAGTTGAGAGGCTATTGTAATTACATTCCAACCCCCATAATGCCTTCCCTCACTCTCTGCCCTTTCACCAGCATTCAAAGCATAGCATTCAAGTCGTAAGTAGTTTCTTCTGTTAACCGTATGTATACGAATCATACAACTATGTAGTTTACGGAACTCTTTTGGAAAAATTGACGACTTGATCACAGGATATGATTATACTAGCCGTCTTTGTGTCATTGCAAATGTAATGGTTAGTCATTGCCGTGTTTTTATACTTTAATGGTTCCTAAATATAAGAAAATATGTTTAAAACATAATTCAATCTCGAAATTTCCTGTCCTCATGGGCGGAATGCCTGTGATTGAAGCGTAGGGAAAGCAAAAAGTGAGTTGTAACAAATGGATGCTGATACATTTTTACTGGCGGGACTCAAACCCAGGACTCATCTACCTTTGTTTTGTATGGTAAGTTTTGCAGCCGAATTGCATAAGCCACCGAATGGCCAGTCAGGCAAACCTGGAATGTTGTCTGTGTTAATGACTTTTAGTTCTTTGTGAATAACATTATTGGGCTAAATCAATACCTACCTTTAGGCTACAGTAAGTTGGTAATGGACAATAAAGTGTTTATTGGTTTTAAGGCAGGGAATTAAAAAAAAATAATGTTTTCATTACTAAACTTGAAATCTCCTTCGAGAATACTCTTTTAACAATTACGCTAATAGCTGCACCACCGTACAAATCAATTGACCACAAAGGAGGCTAAGAATATGGTAAAGGTATGCTAAGGATAGTGTATTAGTTGTTGCGGTCTTGTGTTATTGATATCTTGAACACGTTAGATTTGTGAATTTTTTATTGGATTAAAGATCTTTTTAAATGAGGGACCATGTTATTTTCAAAGATCTGTTTATAAAAGGATGTCTGCATTAAAGGTTAATGCACTAACGGCATTTAAAGAGAATCGCTTTATTAAAGTTCTGAAAATTAATTGGTATTTCAATAGAAATGATTGAGTTAATTGTGTGTGTAAATATGTCTGTAGAGGAGAATCCTGTGAATCTTAGACATGTATATAGATTTAACACAAATTAAATAACATTAATTGTCTATAGATACTTAGATGTACGTATTGTTTATTTTTTTAATTTTATTTAATTTTTTTGCATATAAGCGATGTGTGTAAATAAATCGCTTTGGTCCTTAAACTGTTTTATTATGTTGTATTGAGCATTAGCAAATAACAACTTTGCCAAACAAACTTATTGTATCAAGTGTGGAAGAATGAAATTGTTAATTCAGTACCAATAATCTCACGGTGGATAATATTACAGTATTACCAAATTACTTGCATAACCTGCCACAACACCATAAAATCCTTGAAAAATTCAAAACAAATGTATAGCTCATAATCTATACTTATAAAAGGCAAAGCCCTCACTGACACACTCACTCACTCACTCATCACTAATTCTCCCACTTCCCATTTACCTAGGAGGCTGAAATTCGGTACACCGATTCTTTGGGTATTAATTAGAAAAACTAAGTAGTTTTTATTCTGATCGGGCTTTCGGGCTCCGCCCCAGTGGCTCTGGAGTTTCCCATGTCAACCTTATGATTTTTCACATTTAAAAGAAATTAATGAATCTTAACAGCTGTTTCAATTAAACAAGTTGGTTCTGTTCTATGATGTGCAATAGCATTAAAGTTACAAGGATTACCAAAAGGGTGCAGCACTATTATTATTTTTTTTAATTCATGACAACAGCTTATTTGCAACCAAAAGGTGAGTGAGCGTAGCGAACGAACTTCAACCTGGAGGAGAGTTAGCGTAGCGAACGAGCTAACCTAAAGGCAAGTGAGCGCAGCGAACGAGCTCCAACCTAAAGGTGAGTGAGCGTAGCGAACGAACTTCAACCGGGACTTGATTGAGCCATGCGAACGAGCTCATCTTGAAAATTAAGAAGGTAAACGGGGCAAAGCCCGCGGGTACAGCTAGTAATTTTATAATTGTATTCGTTGCTATGGATATGACCACTTATTTTATCTCCATTTTTCAAAATGTCGCTACGCATATACAATCTACTAGATAATTCAATTCGACTTATTACTTATTATAAAGAATACCAAGAACGTAAGAATATTCTTCTAAGACACCAATCTGAAATTAGGTATATCCGTGTAGCAAAATTTGTAGAGAGTCCCTTTCCTCTTAGATTATTATTCCCCCAAAGATCGGAGATCGTTTATGTTCCAGAGCCGCGTTGACGAGTAAGTTAGTAAAAGATGAAGTTGAAATGTGATTACAATTTCTCTTTGTGCAGTCATGGCGACCTGTGGCCAAACTACAAGTCAGAACTGTTCCTACTTCGTCAACCCGGGCTACCCTAGTTTCTACGATGGTTCAGGATCTTGTCAACTCACCATACAGAAGGCACATCCTGACATCTGTCAGTATAGGTGAGCATGGCTTCGCTTTTACTAAATTAAGTACATCTTATTTCCTTAGCGTTCCTTAGCGTGTTTATAAACTTTTAACATTATAATGGAAAAAAATTAGTTTTATATTTAAGCTTGATTTTAATGGAAACATCACGTAGTACAGTTATGTTTGAAAAGAATAGTTGTAGGTATGAATATTTATAATTTGGCAGAAAATATTAGGTATATAATACAGCTAGTATAAAGTTAGTAATGCTTATGCCGTAAGTGTTCAATATCGGTGTTTCAAAGCTTTGTCTAATTTATTTTGTGTGGTGGAACCTTGATAACAAGACCCTCGATAACAAGTCACCCTTGAAAACCAGTGTCATTTCCAAACTCCCTATAATTATTTTACCCTTTGATTGCATGTTATTGCAAACCTCAACCAAAAAAGTCAACCTTGATAACAGGTTTTATTTGATAATCTCCATGAGAGTATTGTTATCAAGGTTCTACTGTAATATAAAAAAAAAATAAATAAAAGTTGTGACTATCGTCAGGAAAATGCCTAACATCTGTCAAAGGGTCAATGATACCAAGTACACTTGGGGATCAAACTATTGGAACAGTTGAGATTGGTTGATATTTACAGGCTGAAACACTGAAATACGCTACAAAGACTAGACAGAGCTATACAAGAAGTGTTGGTATGCGTTGATATAGAGCATGAAACAGTTCTGGTGACTAATCACAATTTACAAACGTAATTTATCTGTTCCAGGCTTGAATTTGATAATTTCGTGTTGAGTGGTCCAGAGACGCTGAACCATATGTGTAACAATGACCAGTTCCTGGTATCTGGAGGTAGTCCTGTGCCTACCATTTGTGGTATGAATGCCGGCAACCACAGTAAGTATATTTCTAGTTGCCTTCACAAAATTGTATGCTGTTATAAAATTAATTATGTCTACTTAGATGCATCATGGGCTAAGGATTTTTGAATGTTTATGTTGTACGTACTTCTAACCCATCATTATGTCTTTTTTGGACCGTCAAATCACTATATCTTTCTGGCCGTGCATGTAAAGTAGCCAATGTATTACTTCTACTTATCTGCACAATTTTTTCTTGTGACACATTTTGAAAACAATGTGTAGATTTAAAATTCACGCTTATGATTTATAACGATGATAGTAAAAAAAATACACGGGTAAATCATTGGATAGTTCAATCACAATTAAGTCTACTCTACTGTATGCAAATACTGTATATAATTATTTCACTCGCTGAGACTAAATCGTGTCCATTGCGCCAACAATTTTAACACATTTAACGTATATTTAGTTTCAACTAATGAGCAAACAATATCTTAAAACAAATTCAAAACTGCGAGACAGGATATTTAAATGATATAATACCCCGTTTCAGTTCCATATTTATAATTCATTTACAAAGAAGAGAGATTTGATTTGATACTTAAGAAATTGAATCGGCTTTGGAAGCTTTGATGTTCATAATGCTTGACATTCATGTTTTTAAAGGATTTTCTCTTCTTTTTTCTTTACCATACAAAAACATATTTATCGTAACACTGTACAGTATAAATATTGATTCTAAGCTTGTAAACCACATGTGAACCACAAACTTAAAACCTCGAATTTTGTTGTGGGTCAGTATAATTAAAAACCTACACGCAATGATTTTTCACTACCTTCCTTTACTTTTACGAAAAAGTAGCTTTCAAGTCTTATCTGTATATCATTTTTCTTATTAATGGGAATATCTTATTTTTATAACAAAATTTGACTACATATACCACTTAGTAAGTGCAGGGTATCAGATGTGTGCACTTTGTCGGGGAATTAGGTTGGTTGTTTGAAGCTGTCCATGATGCTGGTGTGTTTCCGTACTTCGACAACAACCTCTGACATGAGGGTGTGTAAAGGGTCAATGTATGTTTACAGGTTACAGTGCAGCACTACAGCATTCGAAGGATTACTGCAAATTGTTGATTCAAGCTCAGAGTAATAAAACAACATGTTTTGTTTTATTATTCTGAGATTCAAGTGAAAAACAAATTATGTGTTTTATCACGGTGGCCTTATTTTTACGTTTAAACAGTTATGATACCTTGTATATGCTTTAAGTCAGTAATGTCTTTTTGGAATACTTTTAAATTCTAGTGTTATTAATGTGAATCGTTGTTGTTGTTGTAATATAAATTATAATTTTATTTATAGCATACAACAGCAAAGTTGCTTTTTAATTAATATGTTGCTGAGTGAAAGCAGTTCTTTTCAAAGATAAAAATAATAAGGTAGAGTAAAAGACTTCGGCCGTGTATTTGGCTCATTTTCAAATGAAAACAGTGGAATGCATTCAGAGTCATTCTTGATAGCTAGTATTGATTGAAGCATTGTTATCGGCTAAAGGTGTATAAAAAACACAATAGTAATATTTTTTGTCCTAGGACGCTAGGCACGAGCCTGGGATTGTTTTTCACATTACTTCAGGCTAGACCTAGGGGTTGCAGCATTATCACTTAGATAAAATCCATTGGTGACTTAGCGGGGATCGAACTCTGGACCTCAGGGACTGAAGTCGCGTGCTCTAACCATTACGCCAGCTCACTCCCCACAATAGTAATCTATACATATAAAATTCAATGTATGTTTGTATATTTGTATGTTTGTATATTTGTATGTTTGTCCTTTATGCACTCCAAAACCGCTCGACAGATTGTAATGAAACTTTCAGGCATTATTAAGCATTATTCAAGGATGGTTTGTGTAAAGTTTGGTGCAGATCCGTCAATAGGGCTCCGCCCCAGTGGCTCTGGAGTTTCCCATGTTAACCTTATGAGTACTCATATTTAAATGGAATTAAAGAATCTTAACAGCTGGTGCAACTAAACAATTTGATTCTGTGATGTTCAATAGCATTAAAAAGTTAATAGGTTTACCAACAGGGTGCAGCACTATATTTATTTTTAATTTATGAGAACAGTTAATTTGCAACCAAAAGTTACGTTAGTGAGCGTAGCGAACGAACTTCAACCTGGAGGCGAGTTAGCGTAGCGAACGAGCTAACCTGAAGGCAAGTGAGCGCAGCGAACGAGCTCCAACCTAAAGGTGAGTGAGCGTAGCGAACGAACTTCAACCAGGACGTGATTGAGCCATGCGAACGAGCTCATCTTGAAAATGAACGAGCATGTGACATAAAATCACAATAGGACAGGACGACGTATGTCGGGCCAGCTAGTATTAATATAAAATAATAAAATATAAAATAGTAATATATAAAATAATAATATAAAAATACAGTAGTTGAATACATCGATAACCTCCATTCACTTTGAAAAAAATAGGGATCTCTTGTGGAAGCTGTTTTATGATCGTTCAAAACGCTTCTGTTTTGTGAATTATTTAGCGCTAACTATAAAAATGGTGTTGCATGTAAATACTTAATCATAAGAGCTCAAACATATTGTTCCTAAATCTGTGCAGAAATAAGCGATTTTCGATAACAAATACAAAAATAACAGTTTATTCTTATTGCTAAGTTGTTGCAGTAGTCATGATTAACTCAGTTTCTATTTTGTAATTAAATTACGTCACATAAAGAAGTGTAAATCGTGCTTCTTGGTGTCGACGAGATAATGGAAAACGTGAAGGAATCTCAGGGGACTTCCTGTACAGGAAAACCATCCTGCTGATATAACCTTTGCACCTAAATGTAGTTGTCCTTACAAAGTCGTTAAATAATGCAAGGTGACATCGTCATTAAATCCTCCTGTACAGTCTGTTTTGAAAAGAATGTCACATATGAATTAAAAGAAAACTATTTTGAATGCTTAGGAGCTAGAAAGAAGCACTTGTTAAATTGATTTCGTATTAAGTTTTATTTATATATTACAAGGAAAGGGGCTTGTGTCCAAAGATTGTGTTGAAGGAAGGATAATTTTAAGATGAAGGGAATGTCGAAGCCAAGTTTAACTTTACGTTTCAGTTTTTATCTATTAATTTTAACTATTATGGTTTACCAGCCGACGCTTCCATTTTAAATTGGTTGTTATTGTGCAATATCATTTGATTCATTCATAGACTTATTAACACAAAGGAGTATGTTTAATCAATGGCTTAACTAACACGTGTGCTTCCATTAAAAATAAAAACCCATTTGGATGGGCCAATCAGACCACATAATCATAGACCACTCTGAATATTATCATCGCAGTCTTGTCGATATTCTAGTTTTTCCCTTATGTTTTGATACATTAATGGATCAGCTGTTAGGGAAGCATTCGTTCCGCAAACTGTTATAGTGAAATCTTTACGTTACGTTATGAGTTGTTTATAAGACATTGATCTCTGCAAATCATCCTACTAATATTATAAATGAGAAAGTTTGGATGTATGGACGTATGTATGTTTGTGACAAGTAAACGTGAAAAATACTGGTCGGATTGGGCAAAAATTTGGCATGATGATAGCTCACATTCCCGATTAACATATAGGCAAATTCTTATGTAAAAAATCCTTTCGGGCTCCGCCCCAGTGGCTCTGCAGTTCCCTATGTTAACCTTATGAGTATTCATATGGGAATTAAAGAATTTCGCCAGCTGTTTCAACTAAAAGAGTTGGTTCTATGATATGCAAAAACATTAAAAAGTTATATGATTTACCAACAGGGTGCAACACTTTTTTCATTTGATGAAAACAGCTAATTTGAACTAGGCAGCAACAAAAAACTGTGATACGCAATGAGAACTGTAAAAGTGTAATAAGGAAGCAGATTTTCTCAAACCGTGTCTTCTCACATTGCAAACGCAAAGATCTAGTATAACTGCAATAAGCATGTTATACTTGTATGCCAACCCCGTACGAAGGACGGGTACTCTGCTAGTATATTTATAAATCTTGCTAAATTCCGGATTTTCCACCTGTAAAGGATATGCATTTTATGGAAATAAATAATTAAGGACTAGATCCCAAACGTTGTTCTGCAATAAGTTTTTATCGCTATTATAATCTGTCTAACATTATAGTACATAGACCTTCTGACACCAGGTTTTTGCCCGAATAGAACATTGCTATAGAGGTATCTCACAAAGTTATTTTCTTTTAAATTATTTCTTAAATCTGACTTACTATTGTAAATGTAACATAAACAATGTTATAGATTAGGATGAGTTGTTCTATGAGATTGGCCCAATAAACGTTACCAATGTGAAACAAAAACATTTAAAAAAACTTAATTTGCAATTGATCAAGTTTACTTGTAATATTCCACGTGAACTATTTTATGCATAAGTTATGACACAATGTTGATTTGCAGTGTACATCGATGCAGGGCTCGGCACAAGTCCTGTGACCTTGACTGTGGTAACCAGTGGTCCTGCGATGAACAGACATTGGAAAATCAAGGTCTGCCAGATACCTTGCAGCTCTAACTACAAAGGTAATACCATCCCTGACTTTTGATACCAGAATTTAAACAATTATTATGATATCTACCGTCAATCTATAGTTATCTAACTAGGATAAGGTATATGTGGAAAATACAGAACATGGAAAAGATATCTAAGTAAATTGAAGGGGATAAAAGACGTGAATGGCAGAGGATTGTACTCAAACTCATCATTTACCACCAAACCGTGGCTTCTACCAAGTCAAAAGCAATTAGGCAAAATTCATTGAATTTACGAGTAAAAAAGTGTTTCCTTGTTATATCATAAATCAATTCAACGAAATATTTGTCAACATATGTTTTACTATACATCCATGAGACCACGAGGGCTAAGCAATTGAAAAAAAAATTAAATGGGTTTTACAATTAATTTAGTTTTTTTATAGCTTAGACTAGTTAAGTTGATTTTTCCCTTTTTGTAGTGTAAACACTTCAAGGCTCAATATTTTTACTTGGCAATTAATGTTATTTTTGTGTGTGTACTATCTAATGCTCTCTCTTATTTTTGAAACCTAAAGAATAATGTCTTTTGAATCAAGAAATAAAATATTGCAACTACTGAGTAAAAATATGAATCAACATAATAAATACAGGAAGAATTTACATGAACAAACCTCAAAACTTGAACAAAAGCTCATAAATAACTTTCTTTGATGGCCCGGGCTTAAAATGTTACAGTGCAGAGCATGCTAATAAGTCACTTTGCTTCTAAAGGGTTTCATATAATTTATAAAAGCCAAAAATTCTTTTTAAAGAATAAGAAAGTGTACAATCGAATCAGTATTTCAAAGTATTTATTTCCACAAAAAGATTTGATTTATATAACTAAATATAAATATAAATATTAAAATTAACTTTAAAATTTAACTTGTCTTAATTCTTTCACCTGAACATTACCAACTATTGATGTTTTTTAAATGCATTCTTTAATTTGCAAACGAATGTAGTTCAAGTGTAATATGTTCAAGTGTGTGTGTGTGTAAGTTCAATGGTTTTCATTTACAATAGATTAAATACTGTGGTGGTATTTCTTTTATTGACTAATATTTATAAATTATAGTAAATTACTGACTTTAAGGTAAGTGATTAATACTTAGATTTTCATAATAAACTTGTTGCAAACGAAAATCTTTTAAAGACTTTAATATTGTACTTTACTTTTTAAAATAACTTTTGCCAGTATCCTAGTTATATGATATTGATATATAATAATTTTTCAATCCTCCTTGTAACAGCTGAAGACGGATGCTTGCAGTACTTCACTGGAGTCTCGGGACAGATAAAGTCCTTCAACTACGAGCCTATGACGGGTCTTCACCTGTCCAACCAAGACTACAGCATCTGTGTGAGGATGGAGCGCAATTTCTGTGGTATCCAGTATACCCAGTGCCCAGATGAAGGTAATTATGACTAAAACGCACGAAAATCTTTCCTGGTAGTCCTGGGTTCATTCTACGGCTATCCCCAAAATTGTGTATCCTACGGCTTGGTAGCTGAGCTGTTGTAGTGCCCGCCTAACCATCACAGGGTCGCTGGTTTAATACTGAGACAAGTAAGAAACTTATGATGGCCTTAACCACAGTATTTGGGCTTTTAATAAACTATCCTGGCCTAAGAAACACCTGGTCTTGGTCAAAAATAAAACTGCACAATGCATCATACCAAGGCCCCACTAGAAAAGCAGGCCATGCTGCAGCGTGGGGAGCGCAACACTACGTCACAGTGGTGGATAGTTGTACTAAAATGTTACCGTTAAAATCTGACAAATATCCAGCTTATTTACCTGAAACATGTGGGATATTGCAGTGAATCTATTAACAAATCTATCCAGTATTCATGGATCCTGCAGCATGGCCTGTTTTTCTAGTGGGGCCTTTATCATACTCCATTATACACACTCATGCTTCAATCATCAGGGTTTAAACACACCCTATAATTGCGTCCCTATATGACAAAAGAAAAAAATAATTTTGCAATATGGCAATAATAATATAATGTGTGTCATGAAAATTCAACAGTCCATCGCTATAGAAAAAGTATAGGTCTGAAGGTTGGACAATCTTTTCTGAACTGATGAATTCGTTTCTCCGAGATAGGAAAACCTTCCTGACAGAGGTTATGTGCATACAAACATCATCGATATATACTCCCACAGTCACAACCAGAACATGCAAATGTTACATATTTGTCACAGTTACAACACGTTGAATTAATTCACGGTAAAGGAAGTGCATTTGTTTAAATGGCAGCCATCGAAGCGTAAATTAAAACGCAGTTTTAATTGGCTTTTTTACACCAGGATGGTGCTATTGAATTGCTCGTTTGTTTGATAGGGAAAATCATCTAACGAGTTATAATCTACTGCACACGCTGTTAATGACAAAAATATCTACTGCACCTCACCAAAACATGAAAACTAATTGTTATATTTAACAGGTATATATAGTCAATGGTTTAACCCATGGCCTTTAATGTCAATGGCCTTTCCCAATTGGAACCTCCTACGTAATTTATTTCAGTTGTTAACTTTCGTAATTAATATGTTTGGATTTTACCATTATCTATGAATTTACCAAATATTTGATATGACTGATTGATATCGATCCCAATTACTGTATAATCTTTAATAAATATTTACTGTTTTGTAATTATTGATTGTAAAATATATAATAGTGTCGGAAACTGTATTTTATTTTATTTTATTCTTATATAAATTCTGAAGTTGCTATTAAAAAGTATGAATGTTATGACTCAAAACAGTAACAGTAGTTATTTGTCAAGCGTAACGAATAATTACTCCACTTTACTAAAGAAATATAAACATGTCGTTCTTTTATATTTCGAACGATAGGTTGTAAGTCGATGATTTATACGAGGCTTAGTGGTAGGTCGTGGGAATTTTTATGTGCTCGCCGCCAAGCGGTTATTGAGTTAACATAGATTTGCATTCAATTTCATACACCCGCGCATCACTCATATACATTTCATCGATCTTTTTACGTGGCCCACAGAAACAATATGATATTTTATTTGCTTATTGTTTCTTAAAACAGAAAGATATTTCTTATTGAGCTTATCAATTTACTTTTCTCATTGGTATTTGTTTTCTTTTTTTTCTTATTAATGCAGTTCATCTGAAAATATAATGTACTAAGGAACAAACAGCCTTTAAAAGTTATATTTACAATAAAATGGTTAAGTTATCTTGTCAATGAACACATAATTCTAAAGCGTTAGTTCAATAACCAAGGTTTCCAAGCTCTTGGTGGCTTTTCTTCCAAGCTCACGAATACAATCCAAAACTTACGAATACTCTCCAAACCCCCGCGTCTTCTTACTAGTTTTTAATTTTGGTCCCGCTGTTTTAAACATTTTCAACGGGGTTTCCTGTGTGGGTATTCCGTGTTGTGTATGATCAATATTCGCACCGTCCGCTTTAAAGAGGATTGTATACCATCAATAGTATGGGATCTATTGAGTTAACATTCCTTGGAGTTATGGTAGCGTTGGTTGATATTTTCTAGTGAGAATGGACATGATCTCCAACTACACAAACATCAGACGATTTATATTGCAAACAAACCAAATAAAATAGCACTGTACTCGGGCACAAAATCCGTAGGAAAAAACGTAAATAATTTCAAAATGAGGTTTCTATGATATGCTAAATGTCTTTAGAGTGAAACAAATTTGTTTAACTTCGCAGTGAACAACAGGACGCACTCTTTCACGTTGACCGGCAACACCCTGGGCCAGAACTCCGTGACGTCCATGATCGGAGGTGTCGGTCCCAACTCTTGCAACACTGATTGGCTGATCATCCCTTGCACCAGTAATGTAGGGAGGATGATCACCCCCGCCACCCCGGGCTGCGTGGACAGACTGTGTGGAGGAACTCTCAACAGCGAAGTCAGCATCATGCCAGCCACCGTCTACAGTGAGTAAATTTGAGTGGTGAATTTTAATTTGTAATACTAACTGTGTTCACATTGTCTTTTGGGCACCTATCAGTGCGGAAAATTCAGCTGTAGCAAATTTCTCATTCAAATAGAATATGTTTTAATGAGCCACGTTTAAACTATATTTGATGAGGAATAAAAGTAGAAATAATTTACAACAATGAATACAACAATTCGTCACTAAAAAGTATTCAAATCGTATTTTGTTTTTATCTCTAACAGTTCTAAATCTAACAGTATTCACTTGATTTTACTTTCCAGGCACTGTGAAGCCATTCAGACTAGTCTTTCACACGAACAACGTCGAGGCACCAAACGACGTGGGCAACAGAGGGTTCTGCCTGGACTACGTACAACAACCCTGCACGAACGCGCCAAACAGTCCCTGATAACCCCATGTTCAAACATTGAGTTTTTGTTTTGTTTTTAGTTTGTATAAATATGTATGCATAAAAAAATGCTGTATGTTAAATATTGAAGTAGACATACAACTATGCGGACTATGCATTCCGAAAAGAGCCGTTATGATTTAAAAGTTCTGAACCGAATTTTATTTTTAAATAAACGTTTTGTGATATAATATGTGTTGCTAGCTTAATAAACAACCCACATGTGTACCGCTAATAAGTTTATTTGTAATAGCCTAGTTTTGCTGTCAGGGATGGCGAAACCAATAGTTATTTTTATTAATCAAAATACAACGTTTTGTTTATACTAAGCCTTAGCAAATAATACTTTTCAACGGGTAAAGCTGTCCCAAGCAACCCCATGGTGAGATAACGATACAGACTTGTAAAAAAGGTAAAACGGATAAAGTAAACCTAAGTTGTCGAGGCAAAGATACAAAACATACTCATGCCAATACGTGGTTGGATGTATCTCTCAGAGACTACAAATGCAGAATACATACAAAGCTCATCATGTATGTGCTATTGCATTTAAAGTTATGATAAGAGAAGGCTAATTCTACTACGTCATTGTTTTAGAAACTTTAAGGGTTTTTTAAATAGATAAATGAAAAATCTTTGTTTTAAAGGGTTTATCAGTTAAGACTTGTCTCCCAGAACAGTTTAATAAAAGAAAATTAAAAATAATAGGTAAGTTACACGCAAAAAAAAATAAAAACCATCTATATTGTAAGTACCTTACTTTTAAGAGATGTCTGACATTGTTCTTGAGACTGGGTTGAAAACCCCTAAAGGAAAACGTCCAGAGGAGTCATATCTGGCCTCCTAGGAGGCCATACTCATACTCGTTTCGACGATCGGTGGATTGACAGGGAAGGGCCCATCCAATTGCCTCCTAGGAGTCCAGATATGACTCCTATGGACTTTTTCTTTTGAGGGACAGTAACAGTAGGCGTACCGTGGAGGTAGAACCAAGATGGCGGCCGTAATCTAACCACAACTGTTTATCTCAGCTGATGTCAGATGGTGTTTATTTTAAATAAATTATGGATTAAAAGTTTTGGCTTGAACAAATTGGAACTCGGGTCTTTTAGACAAGGGTTGGGGTCGTTAGCTACTGATCTATGATGCTAGTCATACCTGTACCTTAACTTACATATAAAGGGTGTGTAAATATTGGTTGTGGAGGTTTGATTATAACCTGGATAGAGGTTCACGGGTTTAATTCTAACCAATCATTTCCGGTTGGAGGTTCACGGGTTCAATCCTAACCAACCATTTCCGGTTGGAGGTTCACGGTTTCAATCCTAACCAATCATTTCCGGTAGTGTGAGGTTCTAGCTAGAGGTTTACGGGTTTGATCCTAACCTATCACTTCTGGCAAGGTTTACGGGTTCGACTCTAACCAACCACTAATGGTACTGTATTATAGCGGGAGGTTCATGGGTTTGATTTTAACCAACCACAAATCATGTTATTAAAGGTTCACGGGTTGGATCCTATCTTTGTTTAGAGGTTTTTTGGTTTTGAACCTAATCTAGTTGGAGAGGTTTACGGGTTCAATTCTAACCCAGCAGGTTTTGTAAAAAAAAACACTCTATTCTATATATGCTGTAGTGTATAATGCTTAAGCGGAACCTTACTGTTGAGCATAAATACTGTCAAATGTTGGATGTTATGTGTTTTGAGGCGTGTAAAAATGTGTTTTTGGTATAGTGGGAGTTTTAAAGGTTTACGAGTTCAATACTTTGTAACAAAAAAAACATTTTATTTTATATATGCTATAGTGTATAATAAATGTTAAACAAACAGATGTCAAAAACAGCTGAAAGAGGGCTTAACTTTACCATTAAAAGCTACCAAATATACAGTAGTATGTTTGACTTTATGCTTAATGAGTTATTTTGGGTTGTTTTTTCTTTGTAGTGAGAGGTTCATGGGTTTGATTCCTAGTTGGTTATATGACCTTTATGACCTTGTATTGTATATGCATTCCACCAATTAATATATTCTCACTCTATATACTGTGTATGTATGTTGTCTGTTTTCCCGCTAACGGTTCCTGTCATAACTTTACTTATGTACATAGGAGTTGTCATCTGATAATGTGACCTTTCCACCAAATTGACATTACCTAGGAGCTGTTATCTGCTTTAGTAACATAATCATACCTATGTACGTAAATTAAGTATTAAATTATGAATAAAAGTGTGTACCTTGATCGGGTATCAAATATTAATATTTTAGGTAGTGGTCAAATTGTCTTAGTCATAGAGCTATGATCACAACTAATAGCTTATGTTATTATGGATGAGGTAACGATTATGGTGGGTAAAAAGTGGCTTCATATCCTATGTCTGGGGAAAGATGGCCTCTAACTAGTGGTGTTTAAATGAATGGAAATAGCTAACTAGTGGTATCCACAAGAAATAATGTGCAGCCTATGTATTTTGTTATCCTAAAGGAAAGATAACAAACCCGAGGAAAACGTTGTGATTCAAATATTTTTATCTAACCATATCCTGTGCAGCGATAAGTTACTTGTTAACAAAAAGTTGCTCTCTAATTATGTGTTATAAAATGACACTGGAGTATTAATGAAATATGCTTTAGGCAATTTTTATTGATGTATTGAATAACAAAGCATCTGCAGATCACCTGACAAAAATTATTTTATAGTAATGAATGTATATACTAACTTACTTGTAACTAGCTAACCGAAGATTCATTATAATGGATTACACCAACATTAGATATGCGAGTGATGTCTGGAGTAGCTTTTATTGACTTTTTTTATGAAAACAATATTTATGTACTACCTCAACTTTTAATTTCTGGGTACACTTAGAGAAATAACTATGTAATAAGACAATAGTTAAATTACCTATGTCTAATGGTTGAGTAATCTTTTATAGGAATTTGATGAATTATATCTTCAGTACTTGAACTTATGAGCTGGTAAACATTATATTAACAAAACAAATAACTGTGTGGTACCTAGGTATAATTTAATAGAACACGTGTGTCGTGTATATTATGGGTTGGAATGTTCTGATGTAGCTGAAAATCTTGTTTATTGCACCATTATAACAAGCTTAGTATACTTTTGTGAAGTGTTTAACATAATAATATATATTTCTATAATGAGGGTGAGCATTGCATCTGTCTATGTTGTCACATCTCGACTCCTTGTGTAGAAGAAATTTTAGTCACTTTTCCAAAAATAATTATCCACCAGAAACAAATCTGTAAAACAATTCAGTTCTGATGGGGGCTGTGGAAAAATTAATGTCCACTTAAATGTAACTAAATGTAGCATTTGTATGTGGAGAAGTATATTGTCATCCTTGTGGTAATAAATAGCAACAACTATACATGTACTCAAAGTTACTGATGAAAATTTATGCAGGGATAAAATAGCTGTTAATTTACGTTAGGTTTTTATTCTCTATAAGAGACTATGTTAGACCTGAAGTGTTGACCCCAACTACTCATATCCTCTGCCAAGGTATGTATGTAATACCGTTAATATCTAGTTATTTATGATTATTCAGCTTTGTAGCGAGCGGGGACCAAGCACGCATGATAACACGATGTCTGCACCGGAAGCTTGATAACTGTTAAGATGCAAATATCCCCACTTCGTATTATTAAGCAACATGTTGAAAGATATGTTAGACATACTGCTATACAATAATATATCCAAACTATAGCACCTAAACAAGCAATGTTCTTATTGCTTTTTGTTATTGCTTAGTTTAAATTATTGTTGTAATAAATATAAAAAATAGTTATTTGTGAAGGTAAACCTTTTTAAACAACTGAACCTATAGAACCAACTTGTGTGGTTGAACTAGCTGGAAAAACTCTTTAATCTATAAAATATGAACTATGTTATTGACTCCAAAACAGAATGTATGAATCATTCAGGCATTATTTAAGGACGATTTGTGTAGATTTGTTAAGAGGGCTCTAATGTCGGATTTTAGTAACTACAAGGTTTATAAATAATTTAAAGCAGATGTTTACTTTCACTAGATGTTTTGTAGGTTTGAATAACTGCATCATTCTGTTATGATTTGAAATAGTGTTACAACGTTCCCACAGTATAAAACTACATATTTTACTTCTGGTTAAGTACAACCGCAGCACACTTGTGCACTCAACAAAGCTTAAATCCCCCACTATTAAAGTAAAAAAAGATGTAAAAACCTTTATCAAAGTGATAGAATTGCTTTAATATTTGTTCTATACCCACACAACTTAACGTAAATTATTAAGTGAATAATAATTGTGTTTGTGCTACCTCAGGTATTCAAATGCCTCTCAATTTGTCATTAACCCACCACATTACTACCATTAAAAGAAGGAACTTCAATAATGTGAAACTTAACCCCGCCGAAGCTGTGCAACGCTACCAGACTGACAATTTAAAAAATTTCACCAAAATTGATTGAAGCTAAAACTATCAGTGGTAAGTTTAAAGGAGAAAAAATCTTCAGTAAATAATATATTTTATTTTTTGAATCGTAGTTCCAAGTGACTGATACGTAAAAGGTGCTAGTCTGAAATAAGCTTGAAAAATCTGTTAATTCCATAGACAATCAAGTAAAATAAATATTCTATTTCTGTTTTTTGTATACATTTCTATTATTTAATGTAATTAACAAATTACCGATTAAAATAATAATTGTTGAGCGCAGCAACAGGGTAACTGCTAGTTTCTTTTAAACATGAATATTGATAGCCTAAGTCCAACATGGAGGCTATAGAACCGTTTGGGAAAGGATTTCTGTGGTAAGAATATTTTGATCAGGAATATGAGCTATTATCATACAAAAATTTAACCCAATTTAACCAGGGCGTGATTGAACTTCAAACATACAAACTTTTACATTTATTAATACAATGTCTAGAGTTTACCATGATTATGATATATTTAAACTAGTAGACACTTTAAAAGTGGTTTAAACAAGCGTCAG